TGGGAGAATTTATTCTTTCAGGAATAATTGCTATATTCTTTAACTCCCCTAAAGCAAAGTAATTTTACAGCAGCTCAGTGAGTTTGCAGCATATATAATTTTGTTCTTTATTTGAAGTAGGTTTTGTAGTGCTTTACCTCCTGGCAGATTTTGAGATTCTCAGTAAGTCCCATAATAAATACCTTTACTGCCTTCTGATACTCCTTTATTACTGCTGCTTTGACAAGGGATGATGTCTACAACTCTTAACAGAACTCTGTTTCTAAAAGCCTGAACCAATGCAGTCTGTAACTCTAAATTTTGTGGACTCATTGTTGAAGATTGTACTAATGCTGCCCAGACACCCTGCAGGCAGCAGAGCCATGTGCACACTAGGTGGGCAGCACTCTCAGAACAGCAGGTTTTAAAATCCAGACTTCAGGCATTTCCTTTTTCCCTGCCCTGTGAGTTAGTGTTTTTTACTGTGCTATGTCAAATTTCTTTAAAGAACATTAATTCTTGGGAGAGGACCTTCCCTTTACTTCAAAATATGTGTTGAGGTGGTGTAGATATATTCACTCACTGGGAAAAACAATCTTAAAAGGAGCCCAGGAAAGCAAAAAGAGCTGTAGCTCATGGGCTCTATTGTCCAAGCAGCCTGTCCCACAGGGAGAACGCTGATTAATGGATCCTGGCAGGATGAAGTAAAAGGCTGAATTGTAGTCTTCTGAAAACATATTTTTGTCCTGATTTTTATCTAATCTTTGGAGCAAGAGATGTGAATTATTAGAGCTGGTAAAGAGGAATAATAATAATATCCTAAGAAAATAGTGTTTTCCAAGACATATCAACACTGACGTGGTCTGAAATTTTAATTTTTGTTTCCTGTGATTTCCTAATAATTGTTTTCATTTCCATAAGGGACTTCCTTCAGTGGCTTTTGAGAGCTGTCTGACTCACGCTGTTTCCCACGACTCCAGCATATGGGGGTGAGGATATCCAGAGGAATGATAGAGAAACAGAATGGGGTTTTTTCCACAGTGCAGATGGATAACACTTTTCCCAGAACAGGCCAAATTCAGCTTCCAAAAAGACTCAGGCAGCCACATAGAGGGGGGTACAACCCAACTGGCTGTAGAGCCTGTTGGGCCAGAGGATGCTGAAGATCTTCTCAGCTGGTGTCTTTGCAGTACGATAAGTAAGGCAGGAAATACAGTTACATCGGATCTTTGCTAAATCTGAACTCAAAGCTAAATCGTTGTGCCTTTTGCCAAATACCACAGTGTACATAATGTCTCTTTCTCTTCTTCCTGTTCCTTATAAAGATACTTAGTTTAAGTCCTAAGATTTCACATCCAGGGCAGTTTCCTCTGCTGAAGTCTTGCTCTGCAGTGAACTGAATTGTTGAACGTTTCAGTGGAGAGTAGGAACACAAGGCATAGCTGGAACCTTCACTTACTTAAAAGAAACTATGCACTAACAATTTTGCAAATTTTGATGAAATATTTACTTGCTAATAGTCCTATTTAATATTTAGAGGTTATTGTCAACCATCCTCTCACTATGAGGGGTTGGTATTTGATGGAGAAAAAGCTTCCTTGGCTAGGAAAAGAGGAATGATTTTTAGGCTCTCTGAGAGAATATACCACTTTATCAACTGGGAAATTGAATTCTGCTGTCAGAGCTGATCCTAGTTAAATGAATGGGGAGAACTAAATTCTGCCAGGGTCATCTCCTATTAACCTTATACCCTTTACCAGTCAGGGTTTTGCTTTTATAGTGATTATCTTCATTTTTTTAAAATGTTTTGTAGAAGTCTTCCTGCATATGATGCAGTTCACATTTTAGAATAGTTCTCATTCCCAAACATGTAGAGAAAAGACACCTATGTGATCTGTGCCATTGGAAAGGCATCTGCTTTGGAGTGCACAGTGTTACCTACCAGTTACTGATTAGGCATTTTCTTTTCTTCAGTAAAGGAACATTCACTAGAACTCAGTCCTGTGAGTAATGAGGCTAATGGGGTATCAACAGCTGGTTATAGTTATCCCAGCCTGGCTCTAAGGCACTTGGAAAGGCATGGCTAGAGCTTAAAGGTGATGTCCTACTCCCTTAAGGGCACGAAGGTGGCAGACTGCTGTCCCTCTGTGGTTCTTGATGAGCCACATCACCTGCTCAGACATCAATGAACTGCTTTCCAGCCACTTCAGGGGGGATTTGCTGCTTAATGAAGTCCTGCTGTGCTCACGTGTGAAAAAGAATGGAGTAGTGGGAGGTAACAGGGGCCAGGCCTGGGGTGATTTGGTTCTGCTCTGTGCTGTGCACTTCAGGGGATGTCATGATTGCCACCTCACACCCTATTTGAGCTCATCCAAATACC